GCAAGAACAGGGGTGTGTGCTGGAGGACACAGGAGTAGAGGCTGCAGAGGCCAGGAACACCTGCCACAGTGCCAGAGTGAGTCTGTTCTGCAGTTATCCTCCGGTTCAGAGATCAACAGGGCAGGGGAGGAGAAGGGCCTGTGGCCAGCAGCTCCTGGGAAAGGCCGCAGTCTGCTCTTGGATCCCGCCGGGCCCCGCTTGAGGGGACTCTCTCAATCCTGCTGTGACCAGCCCTCCTTGTCCGTTTAGAAAGTGTAAGTAACATCCACGGTCAGGAGGGCGTTCTCAGTCTGCTCTCCACACAGAAGAGGTCCAAGAAGAGAGGCCAGGCAGAGGCAGAGGGAAGGCAGTGAGCCCCATCCTGGGCTGCTGCCTTGATGAAGAGGGCCACATGCTCACTGCACAGGACGGGGAGCTGGCACACAGAGCGCCCGCCCAGAGAAAAGGACCGTCTATAGGTCTTGGGCGAACTGGCTCTCATCCTGTCTTAGGCTTCAGAGAGGAGGCACAGACAGCCTGAGGAAGAGTGGAGTCCCTGCCACAAGAGGGCACCAGGTGGCCTGAATGATGGCGGTTGGCAGGAGGTCTGCTGGGCCTGCTGGGCTTGGAGAGTGGTAGAGACCCCTGGGTGCCCCATCCTGGGGTGGTTCTCCAGGAGAGCCTTGAACGACAAGCTGGAAGGCTAGTCACCTGTCATATTGTTTTCCTTGGGCTATTTCTGGGATTTTAGCAAAATCCTGTGTGAAGGTTCTGGCCTGGGCTCGCTGTGCTGGGGGTAGCTGAGGAGAGGCTGTGGTCTACCTTTGGGCCAACATACTAAGAGATAGCAGTAGTCCCTAGGGCTTCCCTGAGGGGCTGCAGAGGAGGAGAGTCTTGTGAAATGGTTCTCCTCCTCCCCCTGGTCCACGCTAGCCCGTGAGGTGAGTTTCACCTCCAGGTCCCTTCTCCATCTGGGCTCCCAGCAATTGGGGTCTTGTTTTGCAAGAGCTCGTCCACCCCTGGCAACTCTAAGTTCTATGCTGGGGTTTCTTCGAGAAGAAACAGCAATGGCCACAGACTTCACAACAGCCCTGGACTGGCCCGAATGAAGGCCCTCTCTCTCTGAGGCCTGCCCGTTCTGCCATCTAGACCCCTGCCAGGAAAGACAGCACAAGTGACTGCACTCACTGAGGCAGAATTTAAAAATAATTATATTAATAATAAATATGTTAAGTTACATTTAAAACAATAAATAGAAAAATAAACTGATAAATAAAATCATCAGGTACAAAATGTTTCAAAACTCCAACCAAGAAGAAAAAAAGAAAAAAGAAAAGAAAAAAACACACACAGACAGACAGCTGACAGACTAGACAAATGGACATTAGGGAAGGGTGCAAAATGCAACCTTGGGAACCCTTCACAGTTTACACCACGGCTCCCTCCTCTCCAGCTCACCCTCTCCCCTCCCCAGCTTGGGAACTGGACTCGCAGGGGCTGACATCTCTGGGGACTCCAGCAATGCAGGGAAGCATCTGGTCCACGCCAGCGTCTTCTGCAGAGCAGCCGAGTCCCGGGCTGGTGGGTGAGGTGGAGGTCTCCCTGCGGGAGCAGAGGCAGGTGGAGGACCAGGTCTACAGAGGCAGGTCGGTGCTGTTGTGCCGAGTCTTCCTGACAGTGCCGTCATCTCGGGGCAGAGCCCTCTGCAGGTTGGACATGGCCACGGTCTTCTTGAGGTCAATCACGGCATAGGAGTCTGAGCTGCGGGCAGAGTGTGGGGTGGGTCCAGGAGCTCCAGGGACTGAGGGGTTCTGGGACCCCTTGGGACGGTCTGTGCCCCAGCCCTTAAGCTCCACCTGGATGTAGTTGAGCTGCCGTGAGGGCTCAGGGCCTGGCCGGCGGAAATCAAAGTTGAAGACCCTTGGGGAGCCTCGGCGGCGGGTCAGCGGGACAGGGAAGCTGCTGTGGTTACGGGAAGAGGCCCTGGTGCTGGTGGGTTTCTGTAGTGGGGTTTCATCCTCCTCACCATCGGGGAAGCCATTTGAGGATGGTGTGAGCCCATCCCTGGAGTCCCCGTCATCCCCAGCCTCCCCGCCCAGCTGCTGGACTTGGCTCTCCCACACAGGGGGGAGCGGGGGAAGGTTCTCATAGTGCAGCAGGGCAGCCCGGCGGTGGGCCAGGCCACTCCACCCTGGCTCCTCCGGGCTCAGTCTCCAGCCAGCCCCTGGCCGCAGGCTCCCGCTGACATTCTCGTAGGTGCATTTGGGCTGGGCTGGGCACTCAGAAGGCCCTTCGTTGTTGTTGTTGTGGTGGGGAGGGTCGTGCATGCTGGGGCAGAGGCTCTGACACTTCATCACCTGCCGGTGAGCAGGGGTGGGGCCCAACACGAACTTGACCTGCCCTGGCTGCAAGAACACCTGTGGGTCCCGCTGGGTGGAACCCCGGGTCTGTGGTGGAAAGGGTGCCCGGCCCTCAGGCAGTGGCTGCAGGCAGTGGCGACTCCTGCGGTGGTCTTCTTCGCCAGTCGGTGTGTTGACATAGGTGTGGGACTGCAGGGGAGAGAAGGGAAACCGTGGGCTCCGGGGCTGGGAGGACGGAGAAGGCGGGGGCCGCAGCAGAGAAGACAGGAAAAGAGCCCGAGTTTCTTCTGCTGCTCCAAACCTCCCACCACGCTGCCACCCTTCCGGGGTAGAAAGGGGCCACTGAGTTTCTGTTCCTTCCCACAATCTTTCCTAGGCCCCATCCTGTGGGAGCCCACAGAGGCTTCCTAGTGAGACCTTACTCAAGGTCAGAGACTCTGGGCTCGCTTTACCCAGCAGGGCTGCATAATGGGATGATCTGGCCAGGGGCGTGGTTACCGGGTCTTTGGAAGGGTCTACACTTTGTACATCTGTGCTTTGATCTTGCAAGGGGGAGGTCTTTTGCCTCTCCCCTTGGTATATTATAAAAAGCCCCTTTGAATAAAGCTCTGGGTGGCTGGGTATTGACCCAGGGCCCTCCCGAAGCTGTCCTGTGTCTCTGTCTTTCTCTCCATCTCCATCTCCATTTCTATCTAACACTTCCTCATTCCTCTCTTCCCCGCAAGAACCCTTCGACAGGTCGGAGCTGGACTCCCACGGATTCCCACATCATCCCCACCTACAGTGCAGCCCACCACATGCACACCTGTTCATCGGAGCCAATGAGGGTGTGGGTGGACTCTTCTCCAAGCGAGGGGTGTCGCAGGCTGCTTGTGGAGGGTCTGCGGGTAGCGGAGAACCGTGTGCCCTCTCCAGGGCAGCCAGGGCAACCATTGGAGAGGCTGGAGACAGTGTAGCCTAGTGGTGGCAGCCAAGGGGGAGAGGTATGGGAATCATTGGCAATCACTTACAATCACCTGCATACATTGTGGGGTGCCTTGCACCTCTCACGGCCCCTACTGTGACTGACCGCACTGAACCAGAAGCCTTTCATTCTCCTTTACCTCTGCAATGGAACCCGGCCTGCCTTCTGAAGCCATCACGAGGCTGACCCAGCCTCCTCCTCTATCACAGCCTTCCTTCAAACACTGAAGGTTCACCTGTCCCCATGCCTGGACCATCCCATGACCCCAGCCAAGTTTTGCCAGTGAGCACCACAGAAACTCCACAAACACAGGGGCCTTTTCTGTCCCTTCTGTTCCTCACAGACCAGGCCAGGGAACACAGAGCAACAGCAGCTGTGCAGTCTGACTCGGTGACCCAGCAAGCACAGACTGTGGGACTCGGCACAGTCATGGCCAGAGATGGCTGCACCAGCAAGCAGGAGAGGGGCATGCTGTACGTATCCCAGCCCAGGAGACAGAAGGAAGCAAAAAGCTCCAGACTGCTGTTTCTATGGCAACCCAACGTCTTCCTGTCTGCTCCCCAACCATTAGTCGACCCAAGGCCCAGGACTCTGCAGCTCCAGCTTGAGTCACCCAATTGGCCCTGCCCAGGGCTGATCCATCCTCAGGATGGTTCTGATGATGGCTGAAATGTCCAGAAAAGCTGGCTCAATCCAGCTGTCCCTACCTGCTAGCTTGACTTGGGCCTCCTAGACTTGTGCTCATGAGTATACACACTAGGGTTCCTGGGGTGGGGGCCTCCTCACCAGTGGGCTGGGAAGGCCCTCGAGGGAGGTCGAGCTCTTGGGGGTGGCTGTTGCGTGTGATGATGACTGGCTCTTCCATCACGTTGATGCTGTTACACTGCATGAGGTCCTGCAGCAGGTTGAAGATTTCCTCTGCCCGCGAGCACTTAAAAGCAAAGATCCCTGGAGAAGGCAAAGAGGTAATGAGGCCCCTCCCACCCCGGCTCACTAGTCAGAAGGAAACGTCCATGACTCCAGTCCCACACTGGTGCTTCTCCCTCCTGAGCATTTGTCCCGGGGGCATCCCAGAACCCCAGACGGGGTAAACCGACAGCATCTGGCTCCTACACTACCCACTACTGTCATCCCAAGACCCAGCACTGCAGCCATATTCTCCAAGGTACAGCTGTTTTCATAAGGCTGGGTGCCTTCTGGGGTGAGGGGAAAACCACAGAGAGTTGCCCCATCTTCCCGTTCCTACCACTCCCTGCCCCTCAGGAAAAGTAAGCTTCATCCAGCGAGTAGCCAAATCCACTCCACGGCCCTCTAGGGACAGCTGGGTCTGACCTACTCCCAGATCATTCACAGAACACTCAGCCCAAAGGCTAGTCAGGAAGCAAAGGCCTCCTGTCCCTGCACATAGGTCCCTCACAGAGCTTGGGCAGAGCAGAAGAGACAGGGCAAGGCTGCCCCGTGGCTCCTGAGTGCAGCTGGCCTCTAAGCCCTGCCCAGTCCAGTCTGTCCCCAAACGGGGAGGACTGGGCTGAGCACCTGGAATGCAATGGCTCTGAAGAAGCTAGCCTGGAGCTCTGTAACACAGGATGGTGGAATTCAGGAGAAGCTACAGGGACACCTTATGCACACATCCACAGCAATGGTAGACATCACCAGGTATGGCACCACACACTCCTAGTTAGTCACGAAGTTCAGGGCTAGCCTGAGCTACCCATTAAAACTGTCTCAAAAGACCAGGGGGAGGGGTGGATCTGTGGCATAACGTTTGCCTAGCACGCACAGGCTCTGGGTTTAACCCTCAGCACCACAGCCACATAATGATAAATACAGTTAAATGGGAACATGGACAATGAACATTATATTACTGTTACAATGTTATCATTAGCCCTAGTATAGGGTAACAGATGTTTGTAGAAACAGAGTGAGAAAGACGGGGAGGAAAGAAAGGGCTATCCTGGCAGGAAATGTAAAAGCTGGAAAAGACACAAAGAGACAGTGACACACTGCTGTGATCCCTGCACTTGGGACATAACAGGAGACTTACCTTGAGTCTGGAGACCAGTGAAGGCCACATATAACAAGACCATCACAAAGGGGGTGGGTGGGGGAAGGGAGGAGGGAGAGGAGGAGAAAGGAAGGGACGAAGGGAGGGAAGGAGGGAGGAGGGTGTGTATGTGGAGGGGGTGGGGTCAGAGAAAGCCTGGTATCAGGAGAAGCCCTTTCAGGTGCCAAGTGTCGATCAACCTCACCAGGAGCAAGACTGCCCTGCATCACCTCTCTGTTCACATGCCATGCTTTCCTGTACCCATGAACTACAGGGATGAGGTGGGGGGTGGGGGAAAGCCTCACAGCAGTCAACCCGGAGACTCACTGGTTTGTCACTGTCTCAGGAGAGACACTGATCTCCTCTACCTATGCTCATCTGCAGCACAATCCTAAGGACTCCTTGTGCTGAGCCACATCTGGACCTAAC